CTGACCCCTACCCTAACCCTGACCCCTACCCTAACCCTGACCCCTACCCTAACCCTGACCCTTACCCTAACACTGACCCCTACCCTAACCCTGACCCCTACCGTAACACTGACCCCTACCCTAACCCTGACCCTTACCCTAACACTGACCCCTACCCTAACCCTGACCCCTACCCTAACACTGACATTGCCTGACTGCTGACGCTGATCACAACCTTAATCTTGACCCTGACCACAAAGTGGACACTGACCCTGACCCTGCTCTGAACCTCACCTGACCCTGACCCTGTCTCAGACCCTGACCCTGACCCTGACCCTGTCTCAGACCCTGACCCTGCTCTGAACCTGACCCTGACCCTGTGTCTGACCCCAAACCTGCCCCTGTCCTCAGTTCCAATCCATACCCCACAGCGATTGTCTGGCGGGAGAGCGAAGGTTGGGGGTGGGGGGTGAGTGTGGGGGTGTGACAGGGATCTGCAGGGTCACCTCCAAGATGGTGGGAAAGGTCGGGAGGGAGGGCTAAAGGAGAGGTGGAGGAGCAGGTTGGGGGGGGAACGGTGGGGGTGGGGAGAGGAGACAGCAGAGAGAGCGACACTCTCTCAGACCTAGCGTTCACCGTCCTGGGGATGGGGGGAAGAGAGGGTGTCTCTTTGGAAAAGGCTGGGGCAGATCACACCCCCTCCCCGAAACATCCTCAGGCCGAGCTCGAGTGACATAAGCAGGAAGGCACTCGGACAATCAGACAATTCCAGATATTTACCAACGGCCGCCAGCAGCACAGCAAGATCCCAGCTATTATTCCCACCACCCCAAATAGCAGCCCACAAACTAACACGGCTAGTTGACCCGAATCCAGGGCAGATTCTTCCCAGAGATCGCCGGTTTCTGGTTCTATGTGGAAAAAAAAAGACAGAAAAGATTATTTGCAGCTGTTGGCATTTGGAACCCCCCCCCCCCCAACCTTTGCTGAGGACGTCTATAGCCAGGAGCTTGGATCCTGTTCATGTCCAACTTCTTAGAAGGACATCGCTCTTAAAGCATTAACACAGTGGCGGATCAAGTGGGAGGGGATGCTGCTTTATCCCAGACTTCTCGAGTGTTGCCGGAGCTGCCCCCGCCCAGGGCAAGAGGGGAGTGTTCCCTCACCCTCCTGACTTGTGCCTCGTCAATGGTGGGACAGGCTTTGGGGGGGGAAGAGTCAGGAGGGGAGTTACTCGCTGCAGGATTCCCAGCCTCTGACCTGCTCTTGTAGCCGCTGTATTGATATGGGGCTGGGTCCCAGTTCAGTTTCTGCTCAATGGGGACCCCCAGGATGTTGATAGTGGGGACTGGGGGGGGGATTCAGTGATGGTAACGCCATTGAATGTCAAGGGGGGGCAATGTTTAGATTCTTTCTCATTGGAGATGATCATTACTTGGCATTTGTGTGGCGCGAATGTCACATGCCACTTGTCAGCTTGAGCCTGGATGTTGTCTTGCTAGGTTCACAGAGTCGTACAGTGCGGAAACAGACCCTTCGACCCAGCCAGTCCGTGCCGACCCATAAACCCAAACTAAACTAGTCCCAGCTGCCTGCTTCTGGCACATATCCCCCCAAGCCTTTCCTATCCTTGAACTTATCCAAATGACTTTTAAAAGTTGTAATGTACCTATGTCCACCACTTCCTCTGGCAGTGCGTTCCACAGCAATGAAGGCTTTTGGTAAATCAAACAAAGGTGGAACTTATTAAATTAAAAATAGGACATTGGGTAGTGTTGTCAACCTCAAGATTCAGGTACATAATTCTTTGAAATTTGCGTCACCGGTAGTCAGGATGGGGAAGAAGGCGTTTGGCACGCTTGCCTTCATCCCTCAGACCCTTTGAGTGTAGGAGTTGGGGACATTACGGTGAGGTTGTACAGGACATTGGTGAGGCCTCTTCTGGAGCACTGTGTCCAGTTCTGGTAGCCCTGTTATAGGAACTGGAGAGGGTTCAGGAGAGATTCACCAGCATGTTGCTGGGAATGGAGGGTTTGAGCTATAAGGAGAAGCTGGGACTTTTTTTAAACGGAGCGTGAGGGTGTGACCTTATAGAGGTTTATAAAATCATGAGGTGCATGGATACGGTAAATAGCAAATTGGTTTTTTTTCCCACCGGGGTGGGCAAATTCAAAACTAGAGGCATATTTTTAAGGTGAGAGGAGAAAGATTTAATAAAGACACAAGGAGCAAATTCTTTATTGCACAGAGGCTGGTTTGTGTGTGGAATGAATTTCGAGAGGAAGTGGTGGGTGTGGGTACAGTTACAACGTTTAAAAGATGTTCAGATAAGTACAAGAATAGGAAAGGTTTGGTGGGGGTGCTGGATATGGGCCAGGAGCATAGTTTAGATGGGAACTATGGTCGGCACGGACTGGTTGGGCCGAAGGGTCTGTCTCCTTGCTGTATGACCCAATGGGTGAAGAAGGCAGCTCACTAACGCCTCCTTGAGGGGCAACAGTTACCAGCCCGGCCTGTTTCGCTGGAGGAAGCAAGGGGAGGGGGACGTTACCCGGGGTTTCAGTCGCTCTTACCCCAGAAGACCACTTTCTCCTCTCGGCTGATGTTGTGCCTCACGACACAGGAGTACAGGTGCCCGGGGCCCGGTCGGATGTGAGCGTACCATAATGCCTGGAATCGCCATCCCTCGCCAAAGAAGATCCTTGAGGAGTTGACGTCGGAGCCGAGGGGGGCGCCATCCAAATGCAGGCTGACGGCAACGGAGGGGGGGAATAGCCCAGTCACCAGGCAGACCAGAACGTTCGGCTGGCCCCACTCCACCAGCCTCTCCGGGTACAGGAAGATCTCGCCCACTTCTGTTCAGAGAAGGAACAAGACAGCTCCTGGGCATGTCATCAACGGTTCGAACCCGAGCCCGAGCCCAGCCTCCCCGGGGCCAAATAATACACACAGGCCTCGGGCCTGCTCTAGAGGGGAAGGGAAGGGCCTCAAATAAATTCGATTCACAAAGTCAGCGGTCTTGGTGACTGTTGCCCACTCGGCCCATCAAATCTGCACCAGTGACAAGAGAAATGACTCCAAGTCCGCACCAGGCCCACTTTCCCACACTCGGCCCAAAGCCTTTATGACATGTCAAGGGCGGGTACAGACACCTTGTTAAATCTCCTCCCC